ATCTGGTAGATTTGAGGTCAGATAAGGGTCAGATCAGGTTCACTACACTACAAAAGACTGATCGCACATGTAAAAAGGCAACGTGGGGGAGAAAAATAAGAGAAAAAATTGGATGTTTTTATGAATCCATTTGCAATTCAAAATAAAACTTGTGAAAAGGAATCACCGAAAGGCATTTTAATAGAGCATCGTTGTTGACTTTGCTCTTTAGAAAGCCCATGAAAATTCCTTGCTCGGCAGAAGTGTGCAATTTAAACAGATTGAAACCTTAAACAAACCAAGCATGGCTATGAGCCACAGAGAAAAACACCTATGAATTAAACATGGTGGCACATGGAGGCAATGAGCCTCATGTCTCACTTCTTCTAGATATTGTCACTCAGCTGGAATCACATTTGTTTTATATTCCCTGACTAATAATTATTGAGTGACAACTCCATCTTATTATTGTCATTCCCAGTCCAGAAGAATTATTTCTGTAAGTTTGCCTACAACAGTGCATTCATCTCGTCTACCATTGTGGCAACATTTGTGCCTTTTTAATATGGAGCTACATAAGAAAAGGGCTGTGTAAGCCAATGTCCCTTATGTTGCTCCTGCTCTGATTGGTCAGTTGGAAGCTGCCCTGAACTAATCATTAATACCTCTGCGACATTAATAGCTTCTGAAACCAAATGCAAATTTTATAAGTTTAGGTTTGGCGAAAGAAAACTTTTTTTTTAATCACACACAAGGAACTGCTGATGATTGCATAAGTATCTGTTTATAGGATTGTTTTAATCTTATACTTCAAAGTGCAAACTATCCAAGCATAGGTGAACATAAAGTTCAGACAAAAAAAAAAAAAAAAAAAGAGTACTGTGATTGGCTGAACATGCTAAAATAAAAGTAAAACTCTCACTTTGTAAAGCTGGATTCATGTGAGACTCACAAGATCACATTCTCCTTGCTAAATGTGTCCACAAAAGAAAAGTTTTACCAATGAGCGTTATTTACTTGTGTACTGGTTTTAACAGACAGGTTAGATTTATTTCCACTTGGTTTATCTGATTGGTTGGTTTTGTGACATAAACCATGGGATCTGTCTTATAAAAACATTATAATAATGTAATGGTCAGCGGCCCCCACTGCCATAGTTCCTCTTCCTCTGCTTTGTAATGCCTATCACCCATCTCCAGTTCAAGCCTACTCCCCAGCCATGCCACGCCCCCCTTGTTTATCTCAGCAACCAGCCCTGATTCCACTCAGCTGCTTCAGCTCATCTAGTTCACCTGCTCTGCACCCTTTATAAGCTCCATTCTCTCTCTCCACCAGAGCCGAATTATTACACCACTCATGGTCCCTGATAGTGAAGCCTTTAATCATAGTATCTTGTTCCATTGCTTTGTATCCTTGCCTTGTCTTGCTTTGAACACTCGCCTGTTTTTTTACCCCTCGCCTTGCCCCTTTCTGGATTTGTCTGCATATCTGACCACAGTAACGACTCTTGCTCTCTCTTGGCTACTCTTTTGGATCACAACTCGACCCTGTTCTCGCTTCTCTGCTTCAACGTGCTTGACCCCCGCTACGACCATTGGACCACGCCTCTGAATTTCACCTGCCACGTACAGACTGAGAAGATTGGACTCCTTCCTTGCGCCCTGACTCCAGCAACCAGCAGCCTAATTAATAAAAAACTCTTCTTGTTTTTGCACTCCTGTGTCTGACTTATTAAGAATCCAAAAACCTGTTCTTGACAAATAAATTAAAATCTCACGTGTAATCAACATATTTTTACACTAAAATAAATTTATTTAAATAGAAAGAGAGTAACAGTAAACTGTAGCCTTTGAGTAATAAGGAAGTAAATAGAGAATTTGCATATCTTGTGAAAATGCAGTGTGAATGCTTATTGCAGAAGAATTTGCTGAAAAACAGCAGAAATTTGCTAAAAAATATAACATGTTGAACTGTAGCTGAAAAAAAACAAGCCTTAATTAGCTGAAGAAAGAACACATTTTTCTGAATTAAATGAGCACAAAGTTAGTAAATTAGATGAAAAACCTGAAATTAGCAACAAAAGAAAAAGCTGAAATGAGCTAAAATATGGAATTAGAGGAAAAGGCTAACATTTGCATAAATAGTAAATAGCTAAATAGTAGCTGAAATAGCAGAAAAAAGCTGAAAGGAGCATGACAAGCTGAAATTACCATAAATATAAAGATTAAAGATTGTTAAATTGTGTTGAAAGTAGCAAAAATTGCCATGGAAAAACTTGAATTTATCTGAAAACAGCTGAACTAAAGATTTTGAAAAGGTATCTGAAAAGGTAGAATGAGCTTAAAATAGCAGAAGAAAGCAGAAAGAACATGTGTTTGCCCAATTAAGCTGAAAGAAGCAGAAATGAGCACAAAAAAGTGGAAATTACATGGGGGAAACAAAAAAAAAACAGAAATTAACAAAAATACAGCAGAATTGCAGCTAAAACAAAGTAGAAAGAAGCTTAAGTTACCAGAAGGTACTGGAGAGAACACAATTGTGCCCAATTAGGCTGAAAGAAGCAGAAATGAGCACAAAAAAAGTGAAAATTATCTGAAAAAAGCTTAAATGTGTAAACAAACAAACAAAAAAAAACTGCTGAAAAGTAGCTGAAAAAGCAGAAAGATGCTTAACTTACTGCATAAGGAAAAGGGTAGAGCACATTAAATTAGGCTGAAAAATTTTGAAATGAGTGCAAAAAATGTGTAATTAGCTGAAAAAGCTCAAATTAGCATAAGAACAGCTAAATAGTAGCTGAAATAGTAGAAAAGATTAAACTTTCAGAAATGAGCTGAAAGGAACATAACAATCTGAAATTAGCAAAAAGAAGTTAGAAGCACAAAAATGTTGTTTTCAGAAAGAATCAGAAAGGAGCACAAAACAACTGGGGAAAAAACAGCTAAAATTAGATGAAAGTAGCTTTACAAAAGTTTACATTTGCACAAGGAAACTAAAAGAATCTGAACCAGAACAAAATGTGAAAGGAGCAGTAAAAGGTTGTAAACTGATCTAAAGATGTGAAGGATGTAAAATTAGCTCAATTCATTTTCTGAGATAAAATAACATAAAAGGCTAAATTTCCTAAAACCTGAAGTTGAACCGATACTAAGAATCATATCAGGATTGTCATGAAAGAGCTCAACTTTTTAATATATGATTTTTTGAAATAGCACAAAAATTGTGGAAAAAAGAAAGATGCCGAAAATTGTACGGAGGAAAAATGGATCACAACAGTGTGAATGCTTCATAAACATTCAGACACATTGTGATTTTGACCCATTTACTATCTCTGGCCAGAGTTGACAACACTACAGAGTTTCTATCAAGAGTTCAAATATAACCAGAGAAAAACCCTGGAATGTATGTAGTCGTTTGAGAAACTTCCCAGTCCCTGTTTCCCTTAGGCAAGCTCCCAGATTTGTTGGTCCAAAAGTACCAATGGGTCGAAGCCAAACACTTCAGAGTGTGCCACTCAGACCTGCTCACAGAGAGAATTGGAATGGAGAACCAAACAATAAAAGAGCTGGTATCAAAAGGACACAAAGTGTGAGACTGGTCTTTTCAGAGACTCCTGGGAGTGGTCAGGTGGAAGAATACGATCACTTTCAAACTGGAATCATGTCCAGCTGAATAACCTCATCAAAAAGCTTGATGGACAGTTGACTTCTGAAAATGGGAACACAGCAGCTGTGCTGTCAAACAGACTTTATTTGTTAGTGTTGTATTGATTGGAAAAACTGTTTTTTATAATAAAACTAAACATGATAAGATATTTATGACGTAAAAAGTCAAGACCAGACCATATTTTTTGTTGATATTATATACTAAATTTCTCAGCATGCATTATTGTATAAAACCCAATAACTAGTGATGAGGAAACCACAGAGCAACAGTGAAAGGCAGGAAGCTACTGAAACAAACTCATGGTACGGAAAATATGAAAAAATAAAGTTTTATGATCAAACAAGATTTTGAGAAATGTTTTTGAAAGTACTATTTTGAAAAGTAAATCTTTTTATTTCTCATCTCACAGATAAGATAAGACATAAGTGTTGACTGAAGACGTTAAAAAATAAAAAACAGTCAGAGGAGATAGGTTCTGCTCAAGTAAAAAATAAGGAAACAAAAGAAGAACTTTAATGTTGTTTAGAGGCTTTTTAGTTTACAGAATAACTATTTCCTTTGGCCTTTTAAGGAGTCAATATGAATAATTTATTGAATTTAAAAAACTGTGCCTTTGTGTGAATGTGCAATACATGTATTTACAGACTTATAGACTATATATGGGCTATAGGGATTTATTTATCTCCAAATAACTTTTCAAATCGTGACATGCACCCTTTTCAAACACTTGAATCAGTCTGCAGCAGCTGAGGTAGATCTGGTTCTAGAACTGCTGCGTGCCTTGATATCTAAAAATCTGCAATGAGCTAAAATCATGGAAACACAACTTGATTTGAGAGCAAACACAGAGTCAACATGCACTCATGAAATGCTGACATCAGTTAAAGAGGAAATCCTCATAGGAGTAATAAAAACAAAACTTTGCAAACCAAGACAGACAAACTGAAAGCTTAAAGATAAAATTAAGTCCTTTGCATGGATAAAAAATAGAGACAGATACTGTAAAGAGGTTATATTTACTAAAACAAAAGGACACAATTGGCAGAACTCAAAAGAAGAAGACGAGGCGGGCCAAGAATGGCTTGGCATGACAGACACTTGGGCTTGTACTGACAGCTAGAGGACCAAAAACGCCAAAAGGAGGACAACAAATTCTGTCGACCATTGGGCAGCTTGAAAATAATGTCCAAAACAAATAAAACCACACTAAAAATCCTTATAACATTTATTTAAGTTTACGTCTTGCTAAACAAATTGCTTGCATAATTTTCCTCAAAAATTAGAAGTAAAAGAGGAATATTCATATATCTATAGCACTTATATTATCAATTCTTGGCTATGTTGTCGCTTTCCTCAGGAAAATTGGCACTCAAAGTATAATCGTGAGATTGCATTTATAAAAACAAACATTTGAAAAAAAAAAACTGGAAGCTGTCATCTGAGGATACTACACGATGGAAACCAAAATGAAAACCTTATCAGATCCATGGATTATCCCTCTGTTCTACCCTCCAGTAACAGCGGAGTCCAGTCTGCGTACTCTGACAGCTTTTCATTCACATCAGTGGCTTTTCTATCTTATCTGCTTTGATGCCCATTCAGCTTTAATGTGAATGTAAGACCAAAATACAATGGTTGCAGTCAATAAATGTATCCATGTTTGCCACTGTAGAAGGATTCAGCCTATTTTTACAACACTCACCAAGTCCTGTGTTCCTCTTTGCCAACACTCTTTTTCTTCATTTACACTTTCTCTTTGCCATCTCTCATGCCAAGAAAACAGGTTAAATGTGTTGCTGTTACTATATTTAAGTATGTAAAACATATATTTCAACCTGTGTGTTTAAACTGCTTTGATTTGTTTTCAAGCTGAATGTCCTTTCCACCTCATACATTGTTATTAACTGCTTTCATATGATCAGCTTAAGGTTACTCTGACACCTCCTTGAGACTGAAATCAGTTTTTTTTTTTTTAAGCTTACGTTTTTACCTGCATGATGGTTATAATATTTGGTTTGGTCATTGATGGTTTGAAAGTAGTGAAATAATGTATTGTCTTCATTGTGTGCTTCCATACAATGATGGAATTAGTTCTCTGCATTTATCACATGTGAGATACACCCAGGTGGAGCAGCAGGCAGCTATACAAGTGTCCGGGGAGCAATTAGGGATTGGGTGTCTTGCTCAAGGACACGATGATGTGTGGACATGGTGGGGAGTTGAATTTGTGGCTTTCTGGTCCCAAATTGGCTGTCCTGCCTCTTCACTATCCCCCCGCCTTCTTAAAATATTTTTTAATTGTCCTAAGTGTAAACAGTTACATGTTTGCTTATCCTCTCGTATACAACACCACCAATAAGTATTATATTTACAATTGCGTTCTGATCTGCCATTTCTCTGATAGACAATTCCCTTCAGAGAAACCTTCAGCTTGCCGCCATCTTGTTGAACCACCCTCTTGACCTTCTCTCCAGTCATAGTCTCCAGCTCAGTCTCCTGACCAATTGTGAACTCATTGGCCATTACTTTTGAGTCAGTAGTGATGGAGATCTTGAAGTGGTCACTATTCTCTTCAATTTCAGAGATGCTCTTGATGTCTTTTCCTTTCTGGATGAGGTCATCAGGAAGCCCAATGCCCTTCATGAAATGCTCAAATTTCTCCTGGGACTCCAGCTGATATTTTCCAGAGAATTATAATTATAATTTGGAGGCCGAGATGGGGTAGAGGTAGGGCAGCTGACCTGGGACCAGAAAGTCGCAGGCACAACTCCCCGCCATGCCCACATGTCTCCACCACTGCTCCACCTTGGTGTATCTCATGTGTGATGGGTTAAATGTAGACAACTAATTTTGTCATTGTACAGAATCATACACAAACAACAACACATAGCACACTACTATAATTTGTAACTCTTCGGAACACATCAGCAATTGTAGTAATTCTAGCTGCCAAAATTCTGGGACAACATATCTAATTTAACTATGTTACATACCCAGAACATCCTCAGGTGACAGTGACAACCTGAGCAGGATGTTGTATGCCATCAAATCAGTAGAAATACTCAAGTGTGACTTGAAGACAACAACTAACAGCAAACGTCATTTTACACTAGTCAGCTTTAACAAACATCAGATGCACAGTGGTGCCAGCGCATACCCCTCAACTACCAAGTAGGAAAATGAAGACGCAGCAGCAGCTGCTTAAACCAGCTTACAGTAGACCACTGTGTATTTATAGTAGAGTCACTCAAACTGCTGACATATGAAAAATGCATCTTCAACTTTTTTCGGCTTATTTCTGCAAAAACATAAGACAAAAGTATATCTAAAGCAAGTCTGCTTTACAGTTTGGCCATCGGACGTGCTTTAATGTTTAGTGTCAGTTTTAAATGGCATGTTGTTTTCACCACATTTCTGCAGCCGAGCAGAAGTGTTACTTCAGTTTTATGAGTGACAACATTAATTATGTGATGCTTCCTTATTACAAATATAATTTATCAGTGATTTATCAGCCAGACACTCACCTTTAACCAAAAGGCTGCCAGAACTGCTTGCCACTCCAAACTGGTTTCTGGCTACACACGTATAGAGTCCTGCATCTATTTTCGTAACGTTAGATATCCGAAGGCTTCCACTATCCAACACCATAATTCTGTAGAAAGAGAGAGAGAAAAAAAAATTATATATATATATATATATATATATATATATATATATATATATATATTATATATATATATTTCCAAGTGCTCCATATCAAAAAGTGAAATAACAAGTTCAAAGTCCCCAAACATTCAAACTCATGTCTGAAGTTTTCATTAGCTCGAGACTCGGTCTGATGCGAGTTTGAAGAGTTACTGTTTGATCTGTCGCCACCAAGCTGATAAGAGCAGAGCAAAATCACTTTGAGGCAACCACCTCATTCTGAGGTAAAGTGAATACTAAGGTGATCAAAAGATCATACGAAAAGTGCACACAAAACTACACAGTGAAATAAAAATGTACATTTTATAACTTTAATTTATATAACACAGAATAAGTAGCTTTTTTATTTTATTTTTGCTTTCTAGTACTTTGTATATAGCAACCTGTCCAGGGTGCATCCCACCTCTCACACAAAGACTGCTGGAGATAAGCACCAGCTCCCTGGCAACCCAGAAAAGAAAAGCAGCTAAAACATTGACGAAGGAATGGAAAAAATATATAGCAAGCCAATAAAACAAACAAACATTTTCTACCTCAGTCCATGCAGGTTTATTTAACAGGGTCAGGGCACATATTGAAGTAGAAAAATTAAACCTTTATAATGTTAGTTTTAATGGATTGGTGAAAGTAGTCAATGTTGACGCAGAACTTATGTCAGAAATGAATAAGCTTGAAAACATCAATGAAGCACAAACAACTTTTAAAAAGAAAATGCATTATAGCATTCATCTTGCTACACCTCTCTTTCTAGAGTGATCTGAGCCAAGGATAAGATTGCACAAAGAAAGTATTAAGTTTTTTTTTTTTTTTTTTTTAAAGTTGGTTAGCTTCACAAATATTTGTGACAGTCAAACATTTCATGAAAAAAAAAAATACAGGTTTGCAGGATTGAGGCACAAAATAATCAATGAGTAAATGCCAAAGAGACATTATTTTATACGTTTGTGAAAAAACCAAGCCAAAGCTGCACAAAATTATCCAATTAAAACCTGAAAGGATCTATTCATTTCTTCAAAATGTAGACAGTGGCATAAAAAGCATTTGCTTAAAACCCATATTTAATCAAAACATTATCATCAGCCTTGTTCAGTGTGATTCTAAATGATTGGGTTTTAATACCAGCCATTCATATTTGATGTTTTTGTGCTCACTGGTAGCACATTTCAGTTGGTTTTGGGGAAAAAACACAAAACACTATTTCTTTGTTTTCTCTTTTAACAACAAATACCATAAATGACTTACCTGCAAAATGTTTCTTTTACTGTTTAAATGTTATTGGAAAGTTGACTTATGAAATATAATAATAATAATAATAATAATAATGTCATCACAATGTCAGCACTGTATGTTTCCATACAATGGCGAAATTAGTCTCAGCATTTAACCCATCCACCACCAGGTAATTACAGTATGTACATAATTATTACTTTATCTCCATATGAATCAATACATGGGTGACTAAAGTGATTTTTATTGAAGTAACGTTTTAAGCAGCTTTTTAACATGGCTGTAATTAAACCTTTACTTAAGAAACATAACCTTGACTCATGAATCCTAACCAATTATAGATCTATATTTAATCTAATTTTCATCTAAAAAATTCTAGAGAAAATAGTTGTAGGTCAGTTGCACGAACATCTGCAAAGAAATAATCGGTTTGAGGAGTTTCAGTCATGGTTTAGAGCTCACCACAGCACTGAAACTGCACTGGTGAAAGTTACAAATGATATTCTCATGGCCTCTGACAATGAACTTGTATCTACACTGGTCCTATTAGACCTCAGAGCTGCATTTGATACAGTTGATCACACTATTCTACTACAGTGACTTGAATATCCATCCATCCATCCATCCATCTATTATCTTAACCCGCTTCTTCCTTTTCGGGTCGCGGAGGTCACTGGTGCCCACGTCCGGCCATCACTGTACGAGAGGCGGGGGACACCCTGGACAGGTTGCAAGTCCATCACAGGGACATATAAAGACAAACAACCATTCACTCTCTCACTCACACTTAGGGACAATTTAGAGTTACCAATCAGCCTAACATGCATGTTTTTGGTCTGTGGGAGGAAACCAGAGTACCCAGAGAAAACTAACACATGCACAGAGAGAACATGAAAACTCCGTCCAAAAAAGCCCCAGGTCAGGATTTGAACCAGCAACCTTCTTGCTGAGAGGCAACAGCTCTAACCAACTGAGCCACTAAGATAAATTAATTAATTAATTAATTAATAAACATAAACATTGTTCAATAAGGTACTGTTTATATTTCCCACTGTTAAAACTGAAAAGCACTGCTTTAAAATAATTATTTTAGCATGGTGTTACAAATCCAAAAAGCATTATGTAATCAGAATAATATCTCCAGATGTGAAACAGCTGCTTGACTGATTTCCTAAATAACATATAATGTTCAAAACTCTAGTGAAAAAAAGGAATAAAAGTATTACTTCCATTGCTGTTAATGCAAATCAGAAAATGTAAAAACACAATTACTGTTGAAACATAAAGATTTACTAGGCCCTCTCTTGGGTTACTTTCCTCAATCAGAAAGGTCAGGATAATTTCAATATAATATATTCTAATAATTGAGATTACAGTTTTTAGTGATTTCTCAACCACAGTTGCATCCTTAAAAAAATTATCTTACAAAAAAATGCCTTTTCCCTTGAACATAAACCCTTACCAAAACCTCTCTTTGTTCAAACTAGAAGACTGTAATGAGGTTGCGACACATTTGCACACATACACACATACATACAATAACTTCAACATAGCTTTTTACAGAATCCCTTTGAGCTAGAATTGGTCTTTCTAAATGATTCAAAATGACCCATATTGCTTTAAAGGCTGAATAATTAAAATACATTTCTTCTTACAATTGTACCTAGTCCCCACAGAGTCACACATATATTCTCCTCAGTGAACTGAGGGCTTTCTTTGTAATGGGCTATAACAAAGAGTTATGGATATGAGATGTCACAGAGATAAGACTTGCCATTAAATGGTGCAAAAAACTGTCAGGTTCCCGCCTCACCAAAAGCTACAAAGGAACAACGTAAGATAGAGATGCAAAGAGCAATATTTGTCAGAAATGCTCTCACTTTGATCCCTTTTTCCCAAAGGCTGCCCTAAAGCAATTAAAGTATTGGTGAAATGTGTAGCGTACATAAAAGCAGAAGTGGTGTGATAGAGTAAACAGGCACTTTAGCTCAACTTTACTGTCTGGTATTAAAGTGAGCTATTGGTGGTAATTTAAAAGTCTCTCTGTGGTGTAACAAAAACCAAGAGCCTTCAAATGAAAACATTATTTTAACCACTTAAAAAGGACTGTATAATTAAGGCAGTACATTACAAACAACTTGCAATGTTCTCAAGTGCTGCTTAAATCTTTCACTTGAAATGCGACACAACTGGAAATTTTCTGCATCCCTGTAGCAGGATTTTGAATTGATTCACGCTTCAACAAAAGCACAATAGATTTTGTTTAGCATAACAATCTTAAACACAGTAGTTCTATCTCAGGGTAATGTTCCTGAGAGCTATTTCTTATATCCGTTTTGCAATTGCTGGCAGTGGTCAGCAATAAAATTTAATTACGGTAAGCACTTTATTGCTAACCTCATAGTTTCCTGCATACTTTAAGTGCCCATTATAAGACAATCTTGTTATACATGTATTGGATATGAGCCGACTAAGGTAATGCCCTAGCATGATTTTATTAACTAATCAGATTCTGCATTGTTCTTAGATGATATGTTGTCTTCTACTTCAGATCCTTGAAGACATTATCCCTGGATGATTAGAAAGAATTATGGGTACTTGGGCTGAGCCAGTGGGAAGGATTAGTATTGTGACACTGCTGTAATAGCAGCGGTAACAACCTCATTTCAATGTGGAGAAAAGTAAATGCCAACAAGCCAGGAACAAGAGAACAGGCTCGTGAAAAATGTTGCAATAATGTAAAAAACTTAGCCTCTTGCACACAGCTTATTCACTTCAGTGTAAGGGTCTAATATTAAATCTCATAAGGAAATCTTGCCTTCATGGCTGTGATTGAAATCGCACAGTGCTCTGTGGACGCAGTTTTCTTTCAATACTTGACAGGTTGATAAATCTACGACCTGGGATAAACATTTAGCAGGCATTAGGTACATGTACTCTTGCTGCCAATTGTGCAGATATCCTTCAAATAAAACATATATTGTCATCCAAACTATATGTCTAAACCCAGATTTGGAATTAGGAATACAACTGAATGTTCCATTTCCCCAAACCTGCTGTCAGGCAGGTGGAGGTAACAGATGACTAAACCTGTGGCGCCCACGCTGTGTGTTAAGATGAATTTACCAGGAATTTGAAGTGGAAAAGCTGCTGAGCTTGTTGAACAATTAATCCTATATCAAATCAGAAATATGAACCCCCACCAAATCACAGCATGTTATCAGCTTGTGTGCGCTGCCTCTTGCTGGTACACTCCTGCTAAAAATAAAGATGTTGTCAAACAGAAAAGGAGTCATTTGCATAGACCACAGTTTGTACTGTGCAATGCAAGGTCGGGGTAAAAAGAAGATCTCCCGCTAAATGCAAGCACACAAAAACAAAAAAAGGAAGTATCTCTCCTGACAGCAACAACTGAAGAGCAACACATCAGGATATTTCTGCCACTCCCAGATTAATCAAGTTGAATACTTAAAAGTTTGTGAGAACCGCAAAAGTAGAAAATATCACCAAACTGTGACATTGCAGAGGAGAATATTTACAATTTCTGCTTGTTTGTGTAATCGCCTTTACATCCAAATACATTTTTCTGCTTTCTTTGCAAATATAACTAGACTATTTCAGTCTTTTACCAATGAGTCCCTGTTTACTGGACTGTGGGTAAAAATGGTATAAATTCTGATCAGTCCCTGAATGTTGACATATTATTACTACTTTGACTAGATTACGTTTTCAGCAAAAGAATTGCCTTTCCTTTCTTGACTACATTTGTTTTCCCTTTTCCATCTCCTTTCTCCACACAGAATTATTGCATTCATCTCACCTTAACCAGATTTCTAATAAAACAAGGTGTCCAGCTCATTCCCTTGGTAGTCCCGTTACCCTCACAAAAGCAGGTAAGAACAGCGACTATGCATTGATCATTCCTTTTGGGTATTTTATTTGTTTCTTCTGTGTCTCAGTGGTGGTCTGTATCACCGTTTGCCTTGTGCTCTAATGACCCTCCAGGCCTTACATGCTGCTAATGAGCTGATGGATCAGAGCATCGATCCAAGTGCTGCAGTCTAGGAACGCCCAATTACCTTAAATAAACAAAGAAGAAACCAGCCAGAGGAGCAAATACAATGGAGTACTGCAGAGAAATGTAGATAACAGGAAAGTATTGAAGAGTAGAACCTACTATGTAATGCAAATTATACTGTCTCACACTGTGATTCTGTTCTTCACATTTTGCCACCATGAACATCTAGGAGGGTAATATATAGGAGGGTAAAATAAAATAAAATAGCAGGTTCATGACAGATTAATTTGCAAAAAATAAAAAAAGATGAATAAATAAAGAAGACTAGATGCACTAACAGGTCAACACAAATTTACTTTGTACCTGTGACTTTCTCGCAGAGCTTCTTTTCCTTTCCTCCAAGAAATAATGCCACGAGGAGACATTCTGGGCTTACATTCGATCAGAACATCGCCACTTTGTCGTGCTAAGGTTTGAGCCTTTAGCAGATTCTGGGAGAAGTCTGGGGCAATGGCTGAAAAAAATAAATATAAAAGACGAAAATGTGAATGTAGCAAAATAAACTCGAGGTGAAGGGAAAGAAGAAAAGGTTAAACTGACCGAGTGAGGTAAGAGAAAAACACAAGAAAACAGGGTAGAGGTAAAGCATAAGAGAGTGCAGGAGCTTTCTGCAACATGCAGGTCACTCCATCCATTAGGCAGGTCAGCACTCACTTCCTGTTTTTTTTTTTCCACACATGCTTTTGTTTGTACACATTCAGTGGCAGATTCATGAAGCTCAACACCATTTTCATTTTTTTTTCTTTCTTTTGTAAAAAGAAATTCTTTTCAAATGCTATGCATTTTCCTCAGAGAGACGTCTTTGCGTTAAGAATTGTGTCGTGTTGTGGGATTCAGCAGCAAAAATGAGAGAATGTAAAACAAGAGAGAGAGAGAGGCTTTGTTGTTGCTCCTTTAGGCCTTAATTACTAATGCACTGTCATCTGGAGCTGTTTTATATGTGCACAGACTCAGCAAAAAGCTTTTCAAAGTGAACACATTGCCTAGCTTTAACGACAAGGCTGAACATCTGTCAACATGCACTGGTGCATGCCCTAAAACTAGTGTGATGATACACTTCTACCTGTGTGCACATCACACTTGTCAAGAATGGTGTCTATTGTTTTTGGTAGGTTTTGTGTTTATCATGTTTAGATTTATTTTGTTATTTGTCTCTGATTGTTTTCAATACTTTCCCCAATGTTTCCTGTGTCACCCGCACTTTCACCTCACCCAGCTCTTCCACACAGTTGATTATCCTCATGTACTCATTAGACTCTCAACTGTTTCCACTTATCACTTCTCCCAGTTCCATTTAAACTCTATTCTTGCCCTCACTCATCTGCTATTGTGCTTCATGTCGATCTGATTCTCCTCAGTGTTTCCTCATTATATTTTGTTTCGCTGCCATGTCAGCCTTTTATTTTTTTTTATGTTTTGCCTTAATAAATTATTTTTTATTCTTTTGTCTGCATTCCCGGGTTTGACCTCGTTAGAAGCCGAAAACACTAAACCCTAATGTTTTGAAACATGTGGATTGTGTTTTCTTCTGCAACATAAAAATAACCAATTATTTGTTTTACATCACTATGGTGGAATTTTTTATATAGTCAGATTTTTTTAAGCTGTAGTTACAGCTTTTGTTCACAGAGATGCACCTTAAAATTGTGACCAATATGCAAAAAGAGTTTGAACAATAGTTCAAAACAGCTGATACTTTTGTACCTTTCACTCTCTGATTTTTTTTTTCCCCAGATACATGCATAGTACTGGAAACCCAGTCGGTGACTCTGTCAGTACAGCAATGCCTAGTGCCTACCATATATAAAAGCAGTTACATGAGCTGTCAGTCAAAGCCATTTATGTCTCTAAACAACACAAAGCCGCTATGGAAGTTAGTGAAGTGACTGACAGACTCCTAATACCACGGTTTACCAATGCCTTGATATTAAACTGCCAATGCAGAGTTCTGTGACCGAATCAACTACGATTTATGTCTTGCAGTACCTGCTTTGATAATTAGTAATATTATTATTGTGATACATATACTGCAGGGCTTAATTTGAACAGGATCCTGCCGGAACAGGATCCAGGAATTCTCTTATTTTGACAGGGTGTGTTCCAGTAACTGTTTGATTGGATCTGGTAACTCTCAGGCTTACTAATAATAAAGTTATGAACAAATTTGACTGCCTTGAATGAATAAAACCTATATTGGATATGTAACCTGAAAATAATTACATAAACACTAATTTTAAACACAACAGCCACTTACGAGCTTCCTAATATCACAAAAGAGCTGCCCCTACAAGTAAGCATTTCCGCTTCTACCCTTAAAAAGATCTGCACCCATAAATGTTCAGTCATGGGCAAGTTAATTAAAAACACAAAAAATATAAGTAAACTCAACTAAATTGCAAATCAGTTTTACAGTTTAAGTGGGTTATTAATAACGTTTTTATTATTTATTAAAAATATGAGAGAAATGTTTGATGCATAATCACATTACGTACATCACGTATTAAAACAACAGCGCCAATATGGCAAAACAACAGTGAGCAAAATGTTGAAAAAACAGTCTAATTGACTTTCATAAAAAAAAAAAAAAAAGTCTTCTCATTGTACAACTAAACAACCGAGAATTGAAACACATGAAGTCAGTGGCAATCAAGATAGTACTGGAGCAGGTGCAAGGATGCGTGAGAGAAGCAGAGCATGCTCTATTCACATAAGGAGAGCTGTTGGTCAGGCTACTTCTTGTTGATCTCTAAAAAAGTTATTAAATCAAGTGTTTACAAATAATGTAGATGATTAACAACTCGTTAACATACACCAGAATGCAGGAAATGACATCTACTTTATTCAAAAGTTTCTGGGGGAAACCACTGATTAAACTATGGGAAATACAAACAAAATAATGAATGCATTCTTTTTGGTACACAGTTTTAGAATGACACTATATTTTTGATGCTGTGTACAAAAAAGTTTAGACTGAAAGTAATATCTAATAATAACAGACAGTTAGTAGTAAATACTGACTAGGTATAAAATAGTTTTACAATTAAAATGAAAAAACAAGATATAATACATAACAAATAGTAAAACGCAGCATTATTAATAGAATACTAAAAGGTTTTTTTTTTCTTTTTTTTTTTACTAACCTCACAAATGACTTACTAGGAAACACAACTCAAATCTATTGTCACATAATCTCTTCAATTTGTTTTGTGATTAACAAGTATCAGCAACAGTCAACGAGAGAAATAATGTTTTTGATTTAAATAATATTCTGATGACCCACATGGAAAATTGTAGACGTGCAGCTAATACAATATGTGTAAGCTATGCTGTGTGGAATCACGTGTATAAAATAGGGAAATCCTGAGAAACAATTAAAACCTTGTGTGTTGGGTCTTACCAATGACACGGAGCTCGGCGTTGGTGAAGATTCGACCATGCTTGTTCTCCGCCACACACTGGTACATTCCAATGTCTGCCAGATTTAGGCTGCTGATTGTCAGCACTCCATTATTTACCTGAACTCTGTCCTGTTTAACACATACATAGAAGTAGAAATAAGAACATGTACATAAATCCCAAACAACTGTGTATAAAATATCATAATATAAAAATTATATAAAAATAACGATAAAGATTAGAATAGTTTAGTAACCCCAACATTTTAAATAGACTACATTTTGCTTTTGGTTTGTCTGAGATGTTTTTAGTGTAATTAACAGAATATGTTGTTACATTTTTATGTTTTAAATAGATACATAAATAAATGAATGCCTGAATAAACAAACAAATAAATACATAAATAACTTCTTACCATAGTTTTATTAATGAAAGGATACAGAAAAAAATAAAGGATCTTCATGAATTATATTAGTATTCAAAATAACATCATATTAGTATCACATACTTTGCATACCACAGGATAATGCAAGGCTGTTCAACAAAAATCATTGTTGCTTGTTATTAGCTCCATATATGGGCACTTAAAAATTGTATGCCAAGTGTGTTCACTATGATGAATTGCCTGGTTTAATGCAAGCTATAACTACAATTTTCTCTCTTTTGGGAGCTTGATAATTGAAACATTTTTAATTTTCTGAAGTCTTAATAGGCCCATAGTGACTAGATGTAACCATCTTCTGTTCTGCACTGAAACATTTTCAGACAACGGATGATGTCAAACCACAGAGTAATTTGTCAAGAAAAAGCTGCCGGCTGTTTGTGCTTTACCAAGTATTACAGGGAATCAGGTGTCAGAAAGAAAAAGTAAGTGCATGGGATATTCTTTGTTTAAAAGTAATTACAGTACATGCAACTTCAAAAACACCAACAAAACGTAAACTTAATGAGAACCACACCTGAACAGTTCTTTTCTTTTCTGTGCTCCTCTGACCTTCACAAGGTTTAGCAGTGCTTTCCACTCCCTTTTTATAGTTATGTCAATTTAAGTGTGGCAGCACTCATTGTTCTCGCCCTTGATCTTTCCATTGAGTGTACCTGGACCTTTTAATGTCACTGACAAAGTAGTCTAGAGGGTCCTGCCGCCAGTCTGTCTGTCGTCTGAAATCATTACAGCACTGTCATTGGAAAAGACAAGAACTATCCCTTAACATCAGTCAGTGACACTGCTGTGGATCTTCAAATACATTTTCCTCTGAGGCTGGCTAAAGCATGCATCAGATGGACACATGGCTACGCATGGCTGAACTAGCACAGTGGCTTCCGCCAAAGGGGGTCCTGGGTGAGAATAGATGCAACAATTTTGAAGTGGAACAGAACAAGTCTCTTTTCTGGAAAGAGCTGTGTTTTATGGTCTGTGTTTCTCAAAGTAACAGAGAAAGAAAAGAAATAAAAAGGAGTCAGAAGTCATAGTGAGAGATGGTCCTTTTTTAGGTTACAAAGTGCATAGGCCAGGGGGGATGAAAGAGATAAAGAGCAGCTTAGTAAGTAGGTGGGTTTCTGCCACACTACACTGTTCTGTCCCTGCTGTTTTGATAAAAACTTCAGAACCAGTTGTGGCTCATATACAATCTACAGTGGTGGACACAGTTCTGCTAAAAGCTAATAATGGAATAAATTTTTCATTTAGCGGATTAACATTTCGTCAACTTTGGAAAAAGTTAGTGGAATTAGCTTCCGCTAAATTAGATTTTGCCAACTTTAAGTCAGCTAACAATATTCACAAGCTGGTTTCTGTATGATTTGGGTGTGTCTTCAAGAGTCCATTAGACATGGTACAGTAGCCCCTCAATACTTCGCAATTCGATTTTTGCGGACTCCCTCTTTCATGGGTTTTCAATGTAAGATTGTACATGACAAATGACTGGCTGATTGATGGAAGGCGACCAACCAGAGCATTGTGCTGAGGGGCAGACTGACCATTGGGAGAAACGGGACATTTCCCGGTGGCCTGGCCCACTCCCTGAGCAGTAGCGGGAAAGACAAACCCACCCCCACCCCCTCCTTTCTCTTTCTGAGGCTGTCTCGCAGAGCAGAGACACACAACAGGCGGGCATGCAACCTGTTGTGTGTCTCTGATCTGCTGTGACACACAACCTCAGAAAGAGAAAGGAAGGGGCCGGGGGGGGGGGGGGGTCTGTCTTTCCCCATCACTACTGTGGGTTCTTCAGTGAGACAGACAACTGAGTGAGTGGCATGGATTGTTTTAAAATAATGAAGCATGACCCAAATCGAGACTTTGGTCCAGCCCCCGGAGATCACTGAATGGGCCAGGCAACTGGGAAATGTCCCAGTGCTCCCAATGGCCAATCCGCCCCTGGACTGGCTTAGTAACCACAACATCAGTATGTCTGCTCTCTTTCACAGTGATCTTTTAAAGTGTTTAGAAAGTTTAGAACATTGTTAAGAACATTGCAAGAGTGAGGGAAGTGTTAATAAAGCTTTAATATATATATATATATATATAAATAAATACAAAAAAAAAGTCTCTATTTTATGGATTTTCACCTATTGCGGGGTGTCTGGAACGTATAAGTGAGGGACTACTGTATCGGCTTACTACGTGTGCATGTGACAATATGTGATTGGTCGAAACAGCTGCAACTGAAGGGAGTGACAAAAATGTGTAATGCAGACTGAGTGACAGTTGTCCACCATCAAACCCTCAGCAATGGCTCCCTTCAGGGCTGTGTGCTGAGCCCTCTCCTATTCACTCTGCTCACGTATGACTGTGCACCTACCCATCCAGGCTGTCAAATTGTAAAGTTTGCAGACGATACAGCAGTGGCGGGATGAATCCCAAACCATGATGAGACTAGCTACAGGCAGGAGGTGGAACACCTGGAGAGCTGGTGCAGGAAAAACAACCTTCACATCAATGTGAGGAAGACAAAGGAGAAAGATAAAGAAGAGATTTCCGCAATTTTATTTTATACCTGTTCGGCAGTTTAGCATTAGCAAAGCTAATTCTTTTAGTTAGCAAAATATGAGTTAGGAAAGCTAATGTTTTGGTTAGCTGTGCCCACAAGTGACAATCATTTAGCAATGAAAACGATTGGAAGCATTTATCTGCTTTATCTTTATGTTTAATTACGCATGACCCCCTCTCCCATTTCAATAAAACATTAAAATGCTGTAAAAACGCAAATCATGGATGCACTATTGTTGCTTTGCCTGTATGCTGAAGGTGTAATGACATTACTGTAGCTGTTAAACTGACTGAAGCCAAAAACAAAACCCTGCAGAGGGCATGCAGGGGACTTTATAGGTCAAAAGTAGGGAAACTACACTCTCTCATGCGCATAACTAAAAGTGGAAGCTAGTGGCATATCGGAAAAATACAAGCCCAAGTGGGTCCTTGTTTTGCCAGGGTGACATTTTGAAGTGACAGCCCTCTTTTGTGCCATTTAATTCCCATGAAAGGGGGCAAAACAGAGAGATAGAAAGATAGAAAAGGAGGAAAAATGGGGAAAAAAAACTTGAAAAGGAGCAAAAAGAAAGGAAGTGCCAGAGATGGTAAGAGGAGAACAGGGAGGAAGAAAAAAGGGCTGATCCATTCTAATGAGGAATAACAAATGGCCCCCTTGGCCTTCTCCTCCTCCTTCTTCTCTCTTTACAATGCTGACCTTTGGGTTTTGAAATTGATTTACTGTTGCTGCGGTTGACAGTGGCATTTTGAAAATGGTAACACCCCACCTCATTAATATAGCCACATGCACAGAGAATATGCTACATTGGCCATCTGCCAGATAAATTTTTACAATGTATTTACAAATCAATACTGGAGATGTGCAGGTGGGTTGATAAGTGGTTCAAGATATAGCAAAAAGAGGCAGTGATATTTGTCAGCCATTGAAAATGAGCTAAACAAAAATATACATGAAAATAAATAACAAAGAGAATGTTTAAGGTGACAAATATTAATCCAGACTAAAATTTGAGTTTTTGGATATTTATTTTATTTTATTAAGTTTATTTGATAGGGACCGACACACAATAAGCTATCTTATTGAAACTGAATAAAGCAGAAGTCCCATGTCTGTATCATGGTTCTTATAGCGTGAGCTAATTTGCAGCATTTGTCCCTAGATGTTTTTTTTATTTTTTATAAACAGGATATCTAAGATACAATTAGAAAGTGGAAAAGTAATAAAAGAGTAAAATAATTAAGAATAATATTAACAACATACGGTAAACAGTCATACACATAATACAAATGGATTAAAACATAACAATAAAATTCATTAAACATGAGTGCAATGCTGTTTTTGACACAGCCACAGTTTAGTTTGTTTTTTAAACATACTGAATCTGGTTACAGACTTTAAATTGACATGGAGTGAGTTCCAAATTGTGGATCCTCTCAAAGAGAGAGAACTTTGTACTAGGGGTTAAATGACTACATATTTTTAAAAGTCAACTTTAACATGATAAAAGTCAAGTCAACATTGACTAGTCAATGACGTCATAGGAACTCAAGACGCTATATCATATTCGCAAAAAAATAATGTATTATTTGCACAAAAAAGAACAACAAAACACTGAGTGTATATTTATGCTCCTGCCATTTATCATACTGCAAATAAAAACCAAAACTATTATTAAGCTACAAAAGTGAAAGAAACGTGCATTTGAAGATCAATTTTACAAAATAGGAATTTATAAAACTGGAAAGATCTAGAATACCGAACTTAGCTAAAATATTACAGTGATGAAATCTGATTGGCTTTTGGTATGTGTAGTTAGGTGTCTGTGACCATACAATAGCTCCATAAGACAAATGTGAACGAATCCAAGTGTCAAACATTTTCTAATAATTTTAAAACAATTTATGTTTGATCTAACAGTTTTGCAGATTTATGTGCATAAATTCAACAATAGTAATTTAAATCTTTATTAGAGAATCAGCACTTCTGTGCATATTCACTGATTTTTGATTTGCTGAAATTTTTTATGCATTTTATTTTATTTTATTATTGTTTGCCTTTCTTATTCTTTAAATACAAAGTATATCCCCAACAATACACCAGCAGTCTAGTTTTAATGTAATAACCTAACTCAAACACCAATAGTCAGTGATCTAAAACCACTGGAGACATGCTTTTTAGGCAGAAAGCACACACATACCAGAAGCATAACAACACAAAGCACAGTGCAAATTGCCTAAATCTAAAATGTACTTTGAATAAAAAAGTTTTTTTAGCCTCCCCCAGGAGAAGACTTAATGATAAAAATCAGATTAGCAGATAGGAGACTGAAAACTAAATTGTTGACAGTCTGCTTCATTGCAGACAGAATAAAGCATCACATTGGTTTTCTTTTTATCAAAACACACAGACACACACTCTAACACTTGTACACAGTTATTTTGCCAAATTTGGTCTCAAGTAAATACAACCATTTTAAATTGAGAAGTTCTTGCCAAGTGCATGCCTGTGAATAAGAAGCCTTTCTTTGTTCAAAATGAAGATGAATCATGCAAACACTGAATCCTTTGAGCAAAATGGTCCAGGATTCTCTGCAATCCTATAATATTTCAACTTGCATATCAAATTATTTCAATTCAATGAACAGTTTAAAGGTTGTTTTCATGGAAAAATATTGACAATTTGCTAAAAGTAGAAATACTTTTAAATAGAAAGGAAATTGATACTTCAATCAGTTGTAGAAAAACGTTCTTTTTTGTGGTGATATTTGAAAAACTTGTGAGGAATTACTGTTTAGGAGGCACTTTTTTTGGTCATTCATAACAACTCCGACATAAATAATGTAATGGTAGGTTGAACATCTGTCCTCTATAGTGTGGATGTTTTGGAGCCCAGCTTTTAACTTATAAGTCTTAAAATGTGTGTTGAAATGTGGTTCACTGTTTGAACATGCAGCATAAAGATATTACTTGCTTCCATTATTTTATTTTATTTTTTAATTTTCATGTTTGATTTTATTTTGGACAATGGTAAATTTTACTTGTTCAAAACCCTCACCCAGAATCTGTGGGGAAAAGTAGAAAACAAACTATGCAATTATTTATCAGGTTTTCTTGTTTTATATGATTGCATCACTTTAACTGGTCACTGGTTTACTGTTGTGTCAACCTATTTGTTTTGGGCATCTTTGTTCATACTATAGCCAAAAGTAAAAATGTGTTCTCCTTTATGTTTACTTAATGAATTTAAAAAAGGTTTAAAAATCCTGTACCTCCATGAGATCCAGAGGGTCTCCATTTTTCAGCCAGTGGTATGAGGGTTTGGGCTTTGCATTGGCTTTGCATTCCCACACTAGAGTGTCATCAATGGTCTTCTGAACATCCTGAGGTTTCTCAATCAGCTGTGGTGGAGCTGCCAGGACACAAATCATTTACTGTAAATGAACACTTTCACGCTACAAAAATGCTTGAGTAAGACCTGAAAGCAGCAGTTTTATAGAGAAAAAAATCAATAAACCAACCAAGCAGGCAATTAGTCTATTAAAAAAGCATCCAATGGCACAAAATCTCAGTCTACTTCCAATTAACTTGAAGCTGACCCCTACTTGGAAAATATATTAATAAAAACACTGTAATAAAGCTTTTGTGGGGAAAAAAATAAATAAAAGTGAAAGCTTCGGACCAAAGCTAAACAAAAAGATTTGTGTTTAGCACAAATTGTGTTAATAATGATTGACTATCAACGAGCTTGTTGATCTTTCAGCAGTACAACTTAAACTTAAATTTAAACATCAGAAAGTCACTGAAAAGGTCAATTTACAAGTGAACTTAAAGCCACGTAAATTACCAGTACTTTATTAAATCCTGCATGATAATGACTAATAATTTGGACAATAATGATAATGGAAACTCATACTCAGGTATCAGCAGTTATATATTGCTAAAGTAAGCTTTTGTTGTCGAAAATCAAACTCTTTTGATAACCTTTATTGGAAACGTGCGCGCTTAGAAAAGAAAAATGCATTTGATCCTGACATGGGTCACTACAGATAACAGCTCAACAAGCAGACATAACAAAAGAAACCATCACGTACTGAGAGGGAGAACGTCATGCAAACAGCTTATTCACAAGGTCAGTCTAACCGAGCCTGAATCCATTCAAATGCAGCAAACTGCTGGATCATAATGTCATTTAACCAATTTCCTAAATCCCCTTGAACTCCAGTGGGAATATTAAGAAAGGACTCAAAGAGAGACCAACCCCCAACCCTTATTGTTACTGTGTGCCTACTGTTTGCTGCAAAGCCACATCCCTATATTGATTCTCCTATTCTTCTCTAAACTTGATGGATGTCCCACAAGGTCCCGTCAGTGGGACCTTAAAATGAGATTAGAGATTTTTATCACTTGCCCACAAGTCAGTCTGTGAGGCTGTGCGATTTGACAAGACTTAAATCTTACAAGAAGACACATGGCTTCCACACAGTTACAGCAAGGATCTCATAAAAAACACAACACTGCATGGAAACATCAGTATACAGATGTTTTTTTTCTTTTTTTAAACTAATAATCACAGTCAGTCTGCTGTCAGTGGTGAAACAATACTGTAAGCAGAAATGTCTGCACTCATCAGATCAGAGCAATGGGAAAGTGATCAAACTTTCTTTCTGTTCTTTTTGTTTTTTGCAGTTACAGCAAATTCTGTTGTTTTTATAGAGCATGGTCCAATTCTCATACAGTTCATGCATACAAAACATGGTAAGTTTATCCACTGTTAGTGCTAACACATTAAAAGCTAAGAGCTGATAATAATGAATTGCTTTTTCTTGGAAATGATATGACCACATTAACTAGTTTTAAGACATTGCCTCCATTCGGTACTTTGATACTATACAATGGTTGAAGTAAAGCCGCTTTAATGCATGGTATACACGTATCTGTTTTTATTCTGATCATTTTATTTTAATTCTAAATGCATCACAAAAGTGTATTATCATATCAAAGGTATTTTTCTTTAGAGGAAGAAAAACTTTCAATGAAAAATATTGCCAAAGGGCCTCATGGCAAGACATTATCAATGAATAAACTGCAATATAATGAAGAGAAAAACAATAAAAATCTTTCATCTGGGGACATTAAAAGCTTTTCTCAGAATATAGGCCATAAGTCTAGTGTTGGTGAGAAAAAAGTCAACTCCCTGAAAGAGGTGTTGTAAATCTAAAAGGCCCCCGTGTTAGCCGCTAGCACAATAAAAACCTTGTCAGAAGTGAACTAGTGGTAATGGGTTAATTTATTACTACATGCCATGCTAGTACTTTTTCTATTACGTATGATATAAAATTCTTTAAAACAGCATGAAACTAACTTTTTTTTTGTTAGACTTGTATAATAATTGCACATTCTGTTTGCCAAATTTCCAATCGGCCTTCAGAGTAAACCTTTAAGTGTTGAAGTGCTTGTGAATTAAAGCCAAATGAATCTATAAATGCACCACCAACTAGTAAGAAAATTCACAGACTGAAGGCAAACAGTTTTATATACTTAAGACAAAAAGTAGAAGAGTATGTTATAGAACAAAGATCGGAAACTCACCATAGAAAGACAGTTTTCCTTGAACTGAGTTTCTTCCTCTGCTGTTTTCAGCAACACATTCGTACACTCCTGCATCCTCCAGCTGGAAATATGGGATCTCTAAAACACCACTGGCTTTATTTATGTCCACCTTCCTGCTAAATGAGGCCCCATCCACTCTCCTCCAGCTGATGGTTGGCACTGGGCTAAAGGTGAGGGGGTAAAAAAATAATATGAAAAATAACACCAAAAATTGCTTTGTCTCCGACTTCTTCAAAAAAACATAAAATATTTGTGAAGTGGATGTTATAAAACATGTCAATGTGCCATTACATTGAATATATTGGTCTTTTGTTCTCTGTGTGAACACAGGAACAAGCCACTGCATGCTGAAATTACTATGACATATTAAAAATGCACAGTGGGACATACTTTCCAAGTGCAAAACATTCCAGTTTGACTGTTGAGCTCTTAGCAACAGGAACAACTTCAGGAAACTGCACTTCGATCTTTGGCTCATATTCGCCCATAACACCTGCAGTTGTACAGAAAAGCAATGAATTGATGCTCCACATCACTGACAGGAAGCCTGTCAGCTCTGGGCAAAAACTTGTAACAAAGAGAAATATTACAAAGAAAAACATAAAATGATCTACAGCAGGTTTCTGTATAGCACAATTTCTTATGGGTTCTAAACAGACAGAAATCGTTTTTTCTCCCCTTTTATTTTGTAATATAAGAACAATGGAGGCGAGTTTAAGAATTGTCTGTCAAAGCATCATTGTGGTCCATGAAATTAGAATTAACAAACTAAACAGATAATAGAAAAAAAATAGCCAATCATCCACCCATCCATCCATTATCTTTACCCGCCTTTTCCATTTTGGGTCACGAGGGTCGCCGGTGCCCATGTCCAGCAATCACTGTGCGAGGGGCGGGGTACACCCTGGATGGGTCGCAAGTCCATCACAGGGCCACATAGAGACAAACGAGACAAACAACCATTCACTTTCTCACTCACACCTAGGGACAATTTAGAGTTACCAATCAGCCTAACATGCATGTTTTTGGTCTGTGGGAGGAAACCGGAGTACCCAGAGAAAACCCACGCATGCACGGAGAGAACATGCAAACTCCACCCAGAAAGGCCCCTGGACCGGGGGTTTGAACCAGGGACCTGCTCGCTGAGAGGCAGCAGCTCTACCAGTTGCGCCACCGTGCTGCAATAGCCAATCAATATGATTAAAATTAATGGCAACAGTTTGTAAAATAAAGTTATTTTCCATATTTTTTTGTTTTCGCCAGGCAGTCTGTAAAGTTTCAGCACATGTGGGTTAAAAAGTTTTTGTCTCTTAATTGTAAACTTTGACACTTACAAGGTTACTAATTTATGCAATATATGAATTGTATGTAAGGGTGTCGAATCGTACCATCAACCCGCAGGACTAAAGGCGTCGGCGGTCCTTGAACGCTGCTTTTGGTGACAGTGTTGGTGACTACACACGTGTAGTTTCCCACATCAGAGGGTTCCACCTTTGCGATGTAGAGGTTACCTGTTTTCTGGGACACAAATCGACGCGTGTCCTGGATGACAAACGACGGGTATTCATTGAAGATCCACATGAAAGTAAGTTCTGTGAACAAAATCAAAGACAATAGATGTGGGCAACAAGTTGAAACACGAGCAGATTTATAAATCATCTATATCCATTTACAGATAACAGGGGATCCATCAGCAGTCTCATCACTTCTGTGTGAGTGGATACCCTACGGGATAAAGCAATTAGTGGATTGGACTGAGTGCCAGCCTTCCATGATTAAAAACATAATTTATAATTGAAGAGCACTTACTCTTACTCACTGTTGGATAAATGACTTTAATATGGTTTAAAAAGATAGGCTTTCATTATTCTGAAGTGATAATGCCGGGCATATGAATAACTAGTTTTTGAGAAAAGTTGTTTATTTTTTTTATCAACAGTAGGAATAAAAGGATCTTCCCTGCTGAGATTTGTTCGACTTATTCTAAATAAACATACCTAATGTCCAGGGTGAGTCCACTGTAAATTAAACTTTAAATAAAACATGTTTAACTTACTCTTCATAACTTGCCTTGATTTATTTCCTTTTAACATTTTTTCCACATAAGCCTATCCTTTTGGGAATATAGCATTTATTTACGTTCTAAAAATCAACTTTTCCCATCTATCTTTGATCACTTATAATAACAAAGTTTCTGGAAGATACTCCCAGAGTGCTGCCAACCAAATGGAAAGCAGTCATAGAGGCGTTGCACTAACAAACAGCAACATTATATAAAGGAATATTGGTGTTTTGACATATTGACACAAGGATAGATTGCTCTGGACCAGGCTGCGTCCCTGTCCCAGAAGCAATCTTTGCTGTTGATAAAAACTTGTCTAAGTGATGACTCTGCACAACAGTGCCGAGAATAATTGAGATGTGACTTGGAGTCATTTATTCAGTATTTGTCACTTCTTGCTCTTTAATGGGGAGGAGGAATCCTAGATTTTGACATGTCATTGCAGCCTTGAAAATAACACATTGAAATTGGATTTAGAAAATTTAAGTTTTTCTTGTTTCAGTTAATGGTTATCTGTCCTCTCTGCTTTAAATGTCAGACACCCTCACCTGTCTATTGCCTCACTTGATCATGCCCTCCTGGTTAATGCTCATTAGGCCCAGTCTTGAGGGGTACACTCTGCTAGACGTGTCATGAGATTTTCCTGTCAGTGCATCCTGTTGTACTGTTATACCTGTGTTTTTGACAGTTTTGACATTTTAAAAAATCACTTCACCTCTTTTTTATGACCTTGTATTGTGTGTGTAAAGATTGTCCTTTTTGTTCAGCAAAACAAACAAAGAAAGTTCCAAAACTGGTGACAAGAAAGGTTTCAAGCTGCATGAGTATGTGTACTTTATTTTAATATTTTAGTTTAGCAAATGGAATGACAATGCTGTTCACATTTAAATACTGCTCGCAACTCCATTTCAATTCATCTTCACTGACGCAATATGTTCTGGGATTTGTCAACTGGATTTTTTTCCTCTAGAGGTTTAAAGCCTTGCTTCTACATTATGAATCAGCTCTGCTTGTTCCAGGACGTTAGTGTGAAGGTGACTGACAGTCAGCTTGACAAAGGACAATGTTCAGTCGAGTTCATGACAATTCTTTGGGTCTTGCTCAGAACTAAGGTTATGCTAGGTTTCCTTTACATTAAAATAAAAGTAATTACACAAATTACCATCACAATTTAGATGTTTTTTGCTGCCTTCAAAATAAAAATGTCATCAGTATAATCTTGCAAAACCCCTTCCCTTCGTGTTGATGAGAAAAATGTAGCTTAAAGCAAATGCAGACCACAGGATTCCAAAGAAAGACCTTGAAATGAAGTGGAATCACAGTATTGTGTGAAAGTTTTGAGTTGTCACTCATTTCTTTGTCATTTGTTACAAGGAGGCAGACTTTCTTGTAATACGTTTAAAATGTATTGAGTACTTTTCATGCTTTTTTAAAGTCTTTTAAAGTTTTTCTTTAAATATTTGCTGTTTTTGCAGTTGTTTTTGTTCACATTTCAGAGAATTGTGTTTTGTATAATCAACTCTTAATCTTGACATATGAGTCACGCAGTTATAAAATGGTGATCAAACGCAAGACGCAAACCAGTTTAGGCAATTTGTTACTAACAGCCAACAAGAGACAATTGCTTTTAATTTATTTAGTTCATTCTATAAAAATGCCAAAGCTAATATGGTTTGACAGACGTAAATTAGTATTTTAGCAAAAACAAACTTATTCCCAAATAGCTGGTAGATGAAAATGTGTCATACTGAATCCAATGCAACTGAACAATAATGCATTTCTCAGGTCTTATATCAGGTCTTTGTTGAATTTAGCTTAAACAAATGACTTTCAATTACTGTTAATTAACAAGATAAGCTGTCAAAATTCTAATTTATATGAAGAAAATTATAAAAATTAAGGGTTAGTTTAGAACTTTTTACTTTTACTGTGGATCAAAACCTGAAAACCAGTCAGGTAAAGGTTTAGATACACAACGTGAGGCTTTAGATTTTACTTTCGATGTTTGTGTCTACGGGATTTTTGCTACCAACTCCTATAAAGCTTCTGTGAAGTCAACATAATTTCATGTTGATCCAATTGACTCACAAATGGAACAGCTGAGGTATTCTCCTCTCCCCTTGATAATGGATCTCAGCTCTTATCCTGAGAAGGTCATGTATATTTAATGCAAGCTAGTACTTGGACCTATATCATTCAAAGGTGCAAGGCATGAAAAAAACGGAACAAGAAATAAGCAGTTACTAATTGGTTTGTTAAAGATTCATAAGGAGAAACAAGAAACAGGAAAAAGGAAGTGGAAAAAGCAACAATGCCTGTAGTTGACTGATTTGAGAGCCTTCCGTGGAAGGGTGGTAATGGAATAGCACAATCATGAGTGACAGTGAGTGGCAGATATTTATTGTGGTTCCATTTAGTCTTTGTATAATGAACAGACAGCATCAATTTCCTTTTAATGATCTGAGAGGACTGAAGAGAAATGGAACATGGCAGGCCAAGGACATGCTAAGTTAAGAGTGGGTTTATGCACAAGTGTGGGGAAAGAAAAGTATATGCACAATTTGTGTCAAAGTGTATACTTGCAAGCCTGTTCCTTGGATGGTGACAGCCATTAACCAGGCTTTCTAATCTGTATTCATAACACACATTTCACTCGATGAAAAGGCTTAGGTCAGGCGCACGGTAAAAATCCCTGCGAGTTATATGTGCTGCCACTCGCCAGTAAGCACCCTATGTTTGGGGGCAGATGCACTGAATGGACAAAACAAGTGATTTCAGTCTTCAGTGACTCTGAAAGGCCCATTTCCATTAGTAGAAGGAGGTCAGATGCATTAGGTCCTTGACTAGCTGCAGTCTTTCAGACCATCTTAAAGCAAAAGGTGACAAAGACCAAAATCTGATCTCAGGCCAACATGGTATAGCAATGAGAGACAATTTAGTTAGAGCTTATCTTGAATACTTGAAAGTATTTTGATCAGTTCAGAAGTGCAATTTTAATTGCCTTACATGTTTAGAGTTAGGGATGAACGATATTGGATTTTTGGCCGATATCCAATATGCCGATATGTTAAAACGTATTTGGCCAATAACCAATACCAATACAGATTTTTGTTTTTTTCCTAGACCTACTTGCAGAGACTACATAGCTTTCTCTTCTGTGGAATTAAAATACTACATTATTCTGCATGGTATTTGTCATTTTGGCATGCAGCCAAATGCAGATGGCAAAAGAGGGGCTGAAAATGATGTAAGACTTCAACAAGGATTATGTTTAATGTCAAATTTATTAATGACATTTACTTTCCCTAACACAATAACAACACTCGAACAGTGCAAATTTGTAAATTTTTACAAATCTAAACTCAACCTGTTCACAAAGGACAAGTGAAAAGCACATAAGTAGTAGTGCATTAATAGATGTACTTGACAGTTTTTTAAATTAAAAATGAACTTAGAAGCCTTTTATATCAGCAAGTTTTTTTTTAATGGAATGGCCGATGTCCGATATTGAACTTTATCGCAAATATCGGCCGATACCAATACCATGCCGATAATATTATGCATCCCTATTCAGAGTGCATGTGTAGCAAAAATCTACTTTCTGTATTTTCTTTATATTTTTTATTTATTTATTTTTATTTTTTTTTGGGGGGGGGAGGCTTTAAAATGAAACAATGGCAGCTTGAATCATACATGGTAAATCGGAAATCTTTAAAAATGGAGAATAGATCTTTGTCTTGGACTATGTCGTGCTTGTCATGAATTATGTCCTGTCACCATTTATGAGAACATGCTTTTCTAACATGGAAAAAAAAAATCTGTCCACCCATCTATTATCTTGGCCAGTTTTGTCCTTTTTGGGTCAAGGGTTCACTGGTGCCCTTATTTAGCAGTCACTGTGCCAGAGGCGAGTACACCCTGGACAGGTTGCAAGTTCATAACAGGGCCAAATAAAGACAAACGAAACAAACAACCATTCAAATGCTCACTCACATCTATGGACAATTTAGAGTTTCATATTTGCATCTGCATCATCTTAGTGCTGTTGTTATTACAGAACATATGATTGTGTGGGCATAGTCATGAAGTGTTTTTTCTAAACTTTTAAGTTTATCATAATATATATAAAAAGATTATTTTCTTTAATTCTTTGACCACCTGTATTTAAAAAAAACACTGAACAATCACATAATGATTAGAGAGTATAGTTACAATGTACATCTGTACTCAAAACAATAGACAAACAATTGAGACTCTGTGTGGGTGTGGGAGGATAAGTAACAACATCAAGACAAGATGTATCATAACTGTGAAAAATCTGATCAGTCTAGCCTTTTTGCAGCTATAATAGAAAACTGGAGATGATCAATCTCGCAGTACATCTTTACTTCCTCACCATATCTATCAACAAGAATAAATTCCAGTGACAGCTGAGTTTGAGAAAAATATTGAAAGGAAATAGATCGTTCAAAGCATCAGGCAAGGCCTTTATTGTAGAACAGCTTTGTTTCAACAGAACAAGGACAAAAT